CGGAAAAGCCCTATGTTCTGTTGCAAACAGACATAGACCTCTAGTTTCTATCTTCTTCTTCTTCTTCTTTTTGTCGCCTAAATCCCATAGACTTTGTACACGTTTTTTCTCAGTGCCACTTTTGGTATTAATCTTCGTCTTACATCATTCAAATTAAGCATAGTCATAGTCCTTATAGCAGAGATGTGCCCCGAAGAGTGACGTCATGGTGACGTCATTGACTAATTTATTATAGATTTTTGAATATTTATTTTTTCCCATAGACTTTGTACACAAAAATTAAGAAAAAATTGTCGATTTCCAAAGGGCATTTTCGACTCTTTGCCAGTAATTCATTTACACCACTCTTTGTCCACGCAAAGACCCTAATTCAAACAACATTGTGGAATGATGACGTCATGATGACGTCATCCTGTGTTTATTTATAGGCAATTAAATTGTGACACTTTTAATATTTAAAAATGCATAAGAAATCAACCGTACGCGTCCGCAGCAATCTGTTGCCGGCAAGTGGTAGAGTAGGTTGAGGTCTTCATTTCATTCAGTGTGCGTGCAATCACGTGACCCTTGCTTCCGGTCGAAAAAGGCCCAAACCGGAAGTGGCTTATTATTTGAAAGTGGTAATATAAATGAACTTGCTTTCAACGGTGTTAGTCTCTTGGCCGATAGTATTCTTCAAATCATCTACCGATGACGTCATGCAATCTTCGAGCGCCCTCTAGCGACAGGTTGAAAATTAGCAAAAATGTATTTTGAATAGATGTCTGTGACGAAGTTTGTCGGAATCGCCTAAATATTGATGTATTTGATGACCTTGACCCACTTAAGACGTGTGCGAAGTTTTAGGCGAATGACGTCATCAGACCGGAAGTTATAATAAAAAGACTCTTTTTCATTTGAAAATTCCTGAAAAATCAACCATGGCAGTTTTTATATTTGTTTTTACTTTAATTGTCGATTGAAGGGTAGGTCTAAAACATTTCAAGGTTTCGAGGCGATAAGCGAACTCGAACATACCCTGCGTACGCTTAAAACTTCAGGTTGACAATACCTCTGCTTCAAAACATGCACAGGACAGGACGTCCACAATGTACATGTACATGTACATGCACGTACGTTGTACATAGGCACATACATCGTATGTCAGTCAGCCTGCAGCGCACGTGTTGCTGAGGTCAAATCCTGTCCACAGTGACCGTTTTAGCCGATTTTCGGCTAACTTTGACAGATTTTATGTTCATGCATGCGCATAGACAGGGACGTATTATAGAACTTTTGGCATTAATCTTTGTCAGATATCATTGAAAGTTGGCATAAGCATAGTCCCTATAGCCAAGATGTGTCCCGAAGAGTGACGTCATGGTGACGTCATCAAGTGATTTATTATGGATTTATGAATAATTAATTTTTCTCATAGACTTTGTACACAGCTTTCTCCACAAGTCTGTCCCTATACAACACTGATATATCTTACTGAGTAGTTCTGAACTTCGGCTGAGAATTACTATGAGAAGGAAAAAGAAATCGTATTTTTTTACGCCTGTCATTTGATTGAAAATATTCCCAAGAGTTAGAATAGCAAGTAATATTTTATAAAATTGTTTCAGTTTAAAGGAAAATCACGCATTTAAAGGTGCAGTTTTTCTGCTGTGGGATTTTTAACCTATTGACTTTGTACACATTTTCAAGCCACCATTTTCATAACTTGGCGATCTGGAATCGTCATCAAAGTTACAGCCAAGGGAGACCCTCATACAAAAATTATGCCAAGACTATGACATCATGATGACGTCATCATCAAGTGACTTATTATGGATTCATGAATAATTAATTTTTCTCACAGACTTTGTACACAGCTTTCTCCACAAGTCTGTCCCTATACAACACTGATATATCTTACTGAGTAGTTCTGAACTTCGGCTGAGAATTACTATGAGAAGGAAAAAGAAATCGTATTTTTTTACGCCTGTCATTTGATTGAAAATATTCCCAAGAGTCAGAATATCAAGTAATATTTTATAAAAATGTTTCAGTTTAAAGGCAAATCACGTATTTAAAGGTGCAGTTTTTCTGCTGTGGGATTTTTAACCTATTGACTTTGTACACGTTTTCAAGCCACCATTTTTATAACTTGACGATCTGGAATCGTCATCAAAGTTACAGCCAAGGAAGACCCTCATACAAAAATAAAGCCAAGACTATGACGTCACGATGACGTCATCACCTAATTTTTTTTTATTGAATTTTGAAAATTTACGTACATATTGTGAAGTCTTATATCTACAGAAATGCAAGTCCGATTGGGTTGAAACTTGGTATGTGGCTATACCAGGATGTGTTATAGATTAAAAATGAGGTGACGTCATGATGACGTCATTTTGAGATTTTATATAAATATTTGATTTTTTTTTTACCTTTTAGCCATATCTCCCGAACGCAACATGCAAAATGCAAAATTCTTTTTTGCATTTGGTCTGTTATGTAATAGCTATTCGCAAAAAAAGTGGAAAATGTGTGACGTCATCATGACGTCATCAAAATGCGATTTTTCAAAACTCATGTAAGGAAAGGTCCAATTGTCATGAAACCTGGTGGGTAGGTAGTTAATCATACTAGTATGCAAAGTTCAAAGTGACGTCACGATGACGTCATCAAAAAAATTTAAAGATATTTGTCGATTTTCAAAGTGCGTTTTCGACTCTGCCCCAGTAATTTATTTAGATCACTCTTTGTCCAAGCAAAGACCTTGTACACACGCACATACATCGTATTGCCGAGGTCAAATCCTGTCTACAGTGACCGTTTTAGCCGATTTTCGGCTAACTTTGACAGATTTTATGTTCATGCAAATTCAGGGCATATTATTGATTAAAAGAAATCATAATGCGGAAAAGCCCTATGTTCTGTTGCAAACAGACATAGACCTCTAGTTTTTTTTTCTTCTCCTTTTTCAGACTTTTTCTCCATAGGTTTAACACACGTTTCTTCTACCACTCCACTTTGCCACTTTTTGAAATCCGATTGATTTCCAACTTGGTACATACTTAGACCACCACCCACAGATGGTCCTAGAAGAAATTTGTGATCGTGACGTCATCAGGTGTCAGGTTACATCACATTAAAGATGCATTTTTCCCCATATGTTTTGTACACGTTTTAAAACACTCCAGTTTGGCATCTTCGTAAATCCGATCGACTTTAAACTTAATTCATACTTAGACCACCACCCACAGATAGTTCTAGACGAAATTCGTGATCGTGACGTCATCAAGTGTCAGGTTACGTCACATTAAAGATGCATTTTTCCCCATAGGGTTTGTATATGTATTAAAACGCTCCATTTCGGCACTTTCGTAAATCCGATCGACGTTACACTTGGTACACACTTAGACCATCACCCACAGATGGTTCTTGAAGAAATTCGTGATCGTGACGTCATCAGGTGTCACGTTACTTCACATTAAAGATGCACATTTTCCCTATATGTTTTGTACACGTTTTAAAACACTCCACCTTGGCACCTTCATAAATGCGATCGACCTCAGACTTAATACATACTTAGAGCACCACCCACAGATGGTCCATTGTGATCATGGCGTCATCAGGTGTTGGGTTACGTCACATTAAAGATGCGTTTTTCCCCATATGTTTTGTACACATTTTAAAACACTCCACTTTGGCACCTTCGTTAATCCGATCGACCTCAGTCTTGATACATACTTGGACCACCACCCACAGATGGTCCTAGAAGAAATTCGTGATCGTGACGTCATCAGGTGTTTGGTTACATCACATTAAAGATGCATTTTTCCCCATAGGGTTTGTACACGTTTTAAAACACTCTACTTTTAATTGGCACTTTTGTAAATTATGCGAGCGACGTTAGACCTGGTACACACTTAGACTACCACCCACAGATGGTCCTAGAAGAAATTCGTGATCGTACCAATGCCAAGATGGGTTATAGACAAATTCATGTGATGTCATCATCAAATGTCATGTGACGTCCCTTAAAGGGGCATTTTGTTCTTTATAGGTACATATGTACATGTACATATAATGTGCTGTTATAGATGACATTTTTAGTGACGTCACTGATTGTTCATGACGTGCACAGAGTATTTCGAATATCCGAAACAGCTTGTGTTTGTCCACAAACTCATCTCTAGTTAATGTTGTTTTGCTAAGCATAATGGGCCTATTGTTCTGACCGCCGTCTTGAACCTATACCATTCGTACAAAATAGCAAACTCATACATAATCCCTAATTAATACATCCGGTAATCCTCTTATCTTTTGACTGACCACAAAATCCCTCTTCATTCCCTCCTCGCACCGCCCCCCCCCCCCACAATCCCCATGGAACGTGTACAGGGGACCCCGCCCCACAGCACTACTTATAGAATGCCGTAATCTGAATAGCCACCGTTCATTATGAGGTGTTAAATGCTGTGATTCTGTGGACAAATGTAAAGAACTTACAATTAGCCACTCGTTATAGTAATATTAACAATTTGGTGCTTATTATAGCGCTTTATACAAAGGTCTCAAAGCGCTTCACAATTATTACCCTTGTTCGTCTAGTCCTAAGACCTTTTTTGCAGCAGCTCGAGAGAAGCGCATTTTGATCTCTACCTTCACATGCACCCATTGGGTTGAGAGGCAATAGTCGTAAAGTGTCTTGCCCAAGAACACAAGCACAATGTTCCCGGTCAGAATTCGAACCAACGTACCACGGCACATGAGTCAACACCGTACCTATTGGACCACAGCGCTCCACATGGACGATTCCTTGCTCTTTGGTTATAGCCTACAGGGTTGCGTATTCTCCTACGGTCGTTGTCCTCTACCTATGCAATACATGTGCATAGATTAATGTTGCCAGGATGGCGGAATCCCTCTGCTAAACTGCCCTCAAGTGGCCGTCTAATTGGTCCCCATTGGTTCGAACATCCATTTTCATTATTGTTTTTGTTTTGTCTTCTCTTCCTTTTACACAGATGTATTCAGCATGTCCTGTCCCATCTTCATCTGACACTGCCTCATATTGCAACGGATCTGTTTTTCAACCCCGTTCCATCGAAGAAGCTCGACGGAGCGCAAAATGCACAAGGATTTACAGCAGATTGAAGTGCGTAATGAAACCACGGTTGTTACCTGCTCCACTTGGTTGACAGACTCCAGTATATACTCGTGGGACTTCAAAGTGCATTTCTGTGCATCGCTTCATCACCAGAAGAAGCCATAATTACGAGGATCAAGAATATTTGGTTAATTCAACATGAATAGTTTTTGAACCGGTATTTTTTAATGGTCTTAAACTATTAGAGATGTACTGTCCGCGCTCTTAAAAGGTAATTACAACATTTGCAAACATCAAAAAATAAAACTACCAAATCATTTTGAAATACCTTGCTGAACTGTTAGTGAATGACAGTGTAAAGCATCCTGTAAAATCATGGCACCTGGTATACTGTCATTTTCAAGAAAAGTGGTATTTTTGTATCAATTTCCAATGCTGATCAGCCGATCAGCGTTGGAAACAACTGGCTTTTTTTTCAAATACTGGCCCCCATTGGCCATCGCACTTGTTTGCAATCGATTACACACCTATGAACGGGTACAAGCCAGCTAGACTGGTTCCCTGACCTTACAATTCTCCAATATATGTAAACTGCTCTGTTTCTTCTTAAATGGAGTCAGGGAACCAGACTACAGGAAAATGATTGTTTTTCTTGGTTTTTATAGCATTTTCGAACCCAAAACCTCAAAAAAGTCAGTGTAACTATATTTGCTTTATATTTCCAACCCCCCAATTCCATCCATTTCTGAAAATTACAGCAAAAGCAAATTATGTATATTCCCTTTAAACAATTTTAATTCTATAGTCCGAACGAATTTTCAACAAATTTCAAACTCATTTATTTGGGTTGCATTCCGTTTCGCACAAGATGAGCCTCTCTTGGAGTAGACTGGCTCCCAGTTCCTTGTTTTTTAAAAATTTTGTGCTCGATGTTTACCCAAAAGTAAATACGTTTTGTATTGCTAAACTATAATCATCAAGTATAATCTGTTTTTGAATGAAACTGCTGCAAACTGCTCACTGGATTGATGCTATAGCACAACCATTCCCTAAGGCAAAGAAATTCGAAAATTGCACGGACTTAGCATCCGTCAGTCCGGGAATATTAATTTTCTATTCAAACATTCCAGTCTGTAGATGTACATGTATTTTGAAGCGATACCCACTCTTACTTTATATGTTTTTTTTTTATATATGTATTTGAAGTTTTTATATTTACCTGAAATACCTGGAGTTTTCAAAGAATCATTTGATATTTATTTATCTGTTTTGTAAAATGTTTCTAGAGACTGTAGTATACGGTAGTGTGAACCCCAACCTATGTGTTTCAATGTTTGAACAATTTAGACCCCTACATGCTTTGGTATAACATGAATTAGTCCTCTCAAGACTGTGACTTCTTCCCTAATTTACAGTGCGAATTGCACCATTAGCATTTTGGAACGATTGGAAAAAGCGCCCTCATTTGGTGACGGGCACCTAGTCATCCGTCGGAGTTTTCAGCATGTCCGTGTGTGTGAAATAAAAACAAAACAACCGAAATATTTATTTTCTTTTTACAACCTGATATTAATGTCAAATACAGTGTACAGGGTAAGTGAAAGAAAAGAAAACCCAAATGGTGCCCCCTATTTTTGGTTTAAGTTCTACATGTAGCACTTTCCCATCACGGGTGTACGTTGCTATATATACCATTGTACGTTGCTATATATACCATTTTGAAAAGGGGGGTTGCATCATGAAATTTGCAGACGGACCGTCACGTAAAATGAGTGTAACTGATAACTTCCGCCCAAAATGATCCATTTAACTCCATTTCTAAATTTCTCCACAAAAATATTAATGGTAATTTATGTTTATTACTTTGGATGGATTTAATTTCTCAGTGGGAAAAGTTCTTCATCAAAAGTAAATCGTCAAAATTTGGCCCTGACATAATGTTGGACATTTGCTCGTCACAAAATCTTGTACACGTACACGCTCAGGCCCATCAAAACTAAAAGCAATGAATATTATTTATCATCTCGTTTTAAAAAGTTTTTAATAAGCAATTAACAGTTAATAAAACCTATATATTATACTCGGAAATACTCGGGCGCTATCCGATTGTCGACCAAATTAATTCGGCAAACATGATGAATCTTAGGTCAGGTCAACCTCGTCCCCAGTGCTTACTTTATTCCCAACGTTTCCAATAATAAGCCCTGGATAGGAAACTTTGATATGAACTATGATACTGCATGTTGTCTCGATAAGATCGTAACAGTTAAATTAAATAAATCGTGTTTTCGTAACTCACGCCATGCTTGCGCTGCGACGAATTGACTCTGTTTTTACCCTAGACACCGCATACAAAAACAAACGCTAGTGTAACGCATATCCAGGCACCAGACTATTCCTCATTTGCATACGTGTTCAAAAATCTTGCACATGCAAATGATCCAATACCAGGGTGAGAGAGCAGGTAGTGATGGGCGCGTACTGTTCGACATCCTGGGGACGGTGGTTGAGGCCAGGTAGCCTCCGGCAATACATTGTATTACAATTTACGTCACGTGACTAAAACGGGAGGAATTCTTCCATTTTCCGAAAATGTCCGAAGTTTGCCGAGTTCATTTCGTCGACACTCAGATAGCGACCGAGTATTTCCGAGTGTTTAATTAACTGCTAATTGCTTATTAAAAACTTTTCAAAATGAGTTGATAATTAATATCCATTGCTTTCATTAAGAAAACTTGAAGTTCAAAGACGTTTTTGTACATCAAGTATACTCGGATCGTATGGGCGAACTTTTTGCTGCGTCATGTACAATTTTGAATTTGACGATCGTTACCGAGATGTTCCAAAACTCGGTCTTTATCGGCTCCGCCTGCTAACAGTGCTATTTGGGTGCCTAATTTTGAAGATTCCAGATCAACATTAGTCAATGTGATTTTACAGAAATCATGATATTACGAATAGCAAGTGATTTATTTACAAATTTGATCAGAACATTAAAAGCTATAAGTGATAAAGCGAAATCGGAAACGGAGCCGAGCTATGAAAAAAGGCCGTCAATGTCGTCATGTTTATTTTTAGCCACGGAGGCTACAATTTTAGCGCCGGGAATAATTGTCAGGTCTAGGGAACTAGACTACGCTGAGCCACTCAATATTTGTATAACAGCCATAGACTGAGTGCGCCCTCTTTTGTTGCTCAGTGGCGCGTTTATGATTTTTATCCTGTACAAGTACAACACGTTAAACGACACCCTCCACTGATACTGGTGAAGGCCGTTACCTGTTCTGTGTTTGTACATTGAGCTATAGCTCCATGGTTTATACGACGTAATTGTGTAGAGGCCTATGACAAGTAGCGGTAGTACCTCCATGATCACATGGATCTGCCGAGTGCGTAACGGAAGGTCTACCTCTGTTTAATAGCTCCATGCTGTACGAGGTGAGTTTAGTGGTGTTAAACAACAGGTGCCTATTCCTACTTCCATGATACATGTGCGTTCTTCGTTGTCTTGTGTAGTGGAACAAACGCAGACTGGTCTCTGGGACCTCGAGTGCAGAAAAGCATGCAAAACAAAATCAGGCCAACTTTACTCGCTCTTTAGTCTTTAGGCTATAGCTAACAAATTTCTCCATTTTTTTTTATGGGGTGAAGACTAGGTCCTTAGCATTTCACCAGAGAAGTTTGAGGTCTCGGTTCAATTTATTACAGGAGACTTTTCTTTAAATTTTTTGCACCCTGACATGCCTGAGAGTAGCCCCATAAATGTGGCCTATTTACTGGACTGCCTCCGTAAACATAGGCCACACATCCACATGTACAAAAATCTTGTCGACGGAGCCAAATTTTGATTTTCACATTTAGGCTTAGTTTGTAGGGTTTTTTTGCTTTAGAAGCATACTCACCCTCTTTATAGGCTAATCAGAAAGTGCTGCCTTTTTCAGATGTATATTTTTCGTGAAATTTCCAGATTCATTTTTACACATTTGCGTATCAAAATTTCAACATGAAATTTCACAAAAATTAGACATCTGAAAAAGGCAGCTCTTTTTGATTAGCCTATAAAGAGGGTGAGTATGCTTCTAAAGCAAAAAAACCCTACAAACTAAGCCTAAATGTGAAAATCAAAATTTGGCTCCGTCGACAAGATTTTTGTACATGTGGATGTGTGGCCTATGTTTACGGAGGCAGTCCAGTAAATAGGCCACATTTATGGGGCTAGCCTGAGAGCTGAGAGCGATGCCAATTTGTGATTTCAATTTGAAGCCTAATAGTAGACTAGTAGTATACATGTCCAACTTTTTTGAGAAAATTGACCCTTCCGTTGTCCAGTGGCAAAAAAAAATCCATACTGGGCCACCACTCATATTCCTTAATTAGTCCGAAAATTTGGGACTCTCAATACTGTGTATGAGAGTCCCAAAACTTAAGGTACTGAAAACATGCAAAACAAGAAAATAGACTGGCTCCTAAAACAACCAGTCCAACACAGCTTCAGTACTGCATCAATCAACCATGCCAAAAGAATCTAAGAAACATGCGGCATGAAGCTGGAACAAGACTCAATTTACTACACATTTCTCCATAGTCAAGCCACCAGACTATTGACACTGAGTGAAGAGGTCAGTCTTTTCAAATAGTTGGACCATGGTTGGACATGTACCAGTCTAGTATTTAGCCCTATTTTGAAATCACTTGACTTCCCTCTCATGTGCAAAATATTGAAGAAATGTCTCCTTTAAAAATTGAATTGAGTCTGCAAACCTGGTTGGTGAAATTACTGAGGACCTCCTTTTCTTTGCCCCAGTGGATTTTTGGAGAAATTTGCTGGCAAAAGTGTGAGTAAAGTGGGCCTGATTTAGTTTTGCACGTTTCAGAGCACTCCAGAGCCCTGTCTGTTTCTAGCTTACGATGACCAGAAAAGTACCAACAGTTGTAACTGTGATGAAGAAACACTGCTTAAGGAGTGCACAAATTCCTTGATAATACTTAATTAAATATGTTCTGTCGTGGCCCATACACTTTGTGCGGGAGCTCGGAGTGGTGGCCCAGTATGAAATGTTTCCCCCGAGGTTTCATACCCCTGACTGTAAAATTTAAACAAGGGGAATCCGAAGACCAATCCATCCATTAAGTAATATGTCAGGCAATGACAAAATACTAAACCGAAAAATAGGCCCCTGTAGGCTATACATGTATACCATCATTAACTTTTGGTTGTTTTATTTGTCAAATATTATACTTGCCACGACCATACCAACTATATTACCTTTAAAACTCACACATTACTTTCTGATATGTTGATATACCATACATTTGTGGATTGGTACTACGGCAACATTAGGAAAGATTCACATATCTGGCCATCACTAATTTTTCCATTCAGTGATTAGCCATCAGAAAGTGATAATAATGTCATAAAAAAAGTCAAAATTAGAAGGGAAAATATCGAAGTATTTACTGAGAAAAACACTTACAAATATTGTTTTCAGACCAGTCTCATAGGGTTTGTGCACAGGGTGACAGGTGATGTCCAGATATGGGAATCTTTCCCGTCATGGTTGCAGATACAACGAATAATATACATGTAGGTTTTCCCGGCCAAGTTAGCAGATTTGGCGGCCAAATTGGCGACCAATCACGAATCACCCATTTTCGCATGAATTTGAATGCACGTTGAGATCAACATTCAATTACCTGAAAACACCAATCAATTTCACATTAGAAGCATGCGATTTCACAATTATATCATGCAATTTCAAAAATAGGACATTCAAATTAAAATTGCACAAACGAGCATCCAAATTCGCCGGAGCTTCAAGCTGTGTAAGTTTGGTCATTCAAATTAAGCAAGCATATGTGAAAAGTAAGCACAGTAATTCGAAGTAGGTCCATGTCGTTCCGTTGTTTGTTAGAATAAGATGGAGTGTTTTTGTTACAATTTGGAAATATAATTATAAAAACCTGACTCCGACAAGACTCTGCCACTCTGATCGCCACGCAAACTGTTAATTTGAGGCATTAGAAATATCAATATTCCAGCTTATGGGCGTTACATTAGAATTTCAAATGTAGACCGTGGTCATTTGATCGAAGCTTTCGATGGCAATGCCCAAGACTATCTTGAACTTGCAGACAATCTTGGCATAAATCTACTGCTACAGGTCAATTGTAGCCGCGTAGGTCTGAGACGGGAAAACCTGCCAAGAAGAGGGGCCAGAAACACAAAAGTGGACCACGACATTAAGCAGGAATAATCAAAGGTGAAAGAAATTAAAACACTCGCATCGTATACCTTCTTTTACTTTCATTTCGAATGCAAAAAGTGCTAAATAGAATGCGCGGAAATGAGAATCTCATGCAAATACCCCTAAACCAAACGGACTGCTAAATTGAATGATCACTTAAACCGAATGACATAACTTCAATTTAGGATATGTTAAACATGAAAATGTCAGCCTGTTTTAAAACGAATTTGAACATCTGAAATCTAATACGAACCACAGGAATGACGACAGGGCGCTACTTCGCTTCAAATTGGCCACTATCATGATGAAATCGAATGCTATTTTTTTTGCGAAATTGGCCGGGAAAACCGATAGTTATTGCTTCGCTCATAATAGTGAGTGCCGGTCTTCTCAATTTACGTTTCGCTTGATTTCGTAACTGAAATGAGACACACTTCATTACATTTTCAATACCTCTGTTGTGCCTAGCTCCGTGAAGCAGTAGTCAATACTCGGTGTTCACGAAAGAATTAAAAGGTCCCGTCATAGAATGCACTTTGTTGAATATGAGTGGGTGTGCAAATACACTGGGCACACTAACCTAAGCCTACATGTAGGGACACTCTATTGGAGTGTATACATGTAGCAGACGTGGGACACTTTCAACAATAAGGATAATGTGTGAATGATGACGCTTTCAAAACTGGTACTATAAATTTGCAGACTTAAAAAGAAATATAGTATTAGCCTGCTATTCGTTGAAAAATACATGTAGTATAGGCCAACCATTATAATCAACATTGTACCTTCTACTCCGCTGTTTTGATTTCCAGCTTGTTTTCCTACATCCCACTCACAAACAGGAGAAACCATCGTCATGTTATAACAAACTACGCATCTTTTTTTTTTTTTTTTTTTTTTTTAAAGAACCTTGACTTAAACACGACAGAACATAAGTATATACATGAACAGTAATTTTGGTGGCCACAGTCTAGGACTGTGGTTATTCACTTTATGATGAGTCGTTGGTTGGTTTGAATGCTTTTCGGGTTAGGTTTCTTTCAGACGGTGTAACTTTAGAATGGCAATGCAATTATATACCCATAACTAACAACACTGAGCGTGGATGTATGCTCTGAGCCTGAAGTATAAAAACAGCCGTTTTAATAAGTTGGAGTAAATCTACATGTATATCTTTTATCGAAGAATGTTACCACTGTTTTATAGCGTAGGCCGCGCCTGCGTACGATGTTGTGCAACTGCAAAGATGGTCCTACTGCCTCTGCCATTGATAGTCTCCTGTTTAAAGGGAATATGCAACATTTGCAAAAATCGAAAAACAAAACTAGCATTTTTTTTTAAGAAATACCTTACAATGATGTTGGTAAATGACAGTCTAAAGACTAAAGCATCCTGTAAAATTGTGGCACCTGGTGTAAAGTCATTTTCAAGAAAAGTGGTATGTTTTGTATAAATTCCCAACGGTGGTCGGCCGACCACCGCGGTGCACCGTTGGAAAAACCTAAAAAAAATTCAACTACTGCTCAAAATTTACCATTCAAGTACCATCCAAATTCTGTTTGCTTTTGGTAACATGTTCATGAACAGGTGCAGGCCAGCTAGACTGATTCCTTTACCGTACAATTTTCCGGCATTTATAAATTGATCCATTTCATCTTTAGTGGAGTCAGGGAACCAGACTACTGGAGCTTTTTGTTTTTCTTGGTTTTTGCAGCATTTTCGAACACAAACCTTCAAACATGTCATTGTAACAATATTTGATCTATTAAACTAACTCCTCAAATAGTTTATTTCTGAAAATTGCATAAACCAATGATGTACATTCCCGGATCCCTCGGGGGCCGGGGGGGGGGGGGGAGGTGCAACCACACGTTCAGCTGCTGACTAATTGTATGATAATAGGAAAATTGGGCAAAAATAACAAATACATGTAGAATGCTAAAGTTACTTAATTTATTCTTAAAGTTGCCTCCGAATGCAGTATAGGAACATCGTATATTCCAAACATTTCCGGACCTTCATACCCCGAACCCCTTAGCAGGTGTGCCTTCGATACGCCTTCAATCAATCACCCGCCTACATACCCCCTCCTGAAAGCCGTAGTAGATCCGCCCCTGTTTAACGACCCATAATTTGTTTCGTGCTGTCGCACGACACTACGAAACTGCATGTATATAGCGGCAGACTGGGTTT